TAGTGAGATATTGTCTTAAAATAAATTTTAAAAAGGGGGTGGGAATATAGCTTAGAGGTAGAATGCTCACCTAGCATACATGAGGCCCTGTTTCTAACCCCAACACTGCAGGAAATTATTTTATAAAAGGTAAAACTGTATTTATTTACATGTGGAAAATCCTAAAGATTCCTTGAAAGCTACTAGGACTAAGTAAATTTAGCCAAGTTGCAAAGTATAACCACTATATTAAAAATCCAGGTTATTTCTCTATACTAGCATTGCACAATTGGAAACTAAAATTAAAAAAATAATTCCATTTACAATAGCATCAAATATAAAAATGGGATAACATTTACGTATGTGCAAAATTGCTATGTTAAAATCTATAAAATATTTCGAGGTAAGTTAATATATAAATTAGTTGGAGGTACATAACATGTTCATAGATTGGAGAATTCAATATCGTTCACATGTCATTGCTCCTAAATTGGTCAGTAGAAAAAAAAAGGTGAGCAAACTAACAGAAGGAAAAAAAAATTGTCAATTGATCCAAAGCACTCTCAATTTCAAAAGTGAGTTTTTAAAACATTGACAAATTAATTCTGAAATCATATGGAAGAGATAAGCCAGATCAAAGCAACAACAAAGTAGAAGGGCTAAACAAATTTTGGGAAAAAGAGGAGCAAAGTCGGAAAACTTATTTTTATCAAAGTTGGAGTTTTATTATAAAGTTGTAATAATCAAGTCAGTAGGGTATTGGTAAAAGAGTAAAAATATAGATCAAATGAAAGGAATAGTGAGACTAAAAATAAACACACTCACATATGGTCAATTGATTTTCACTAAAAGTAGCAAAGTCATTCAATAGGAAAAAGTTAATTTATAAACAAATAGTGCTGAAACAACTGCATATGCATGTTAACAATAATGAACCTCAGTCTTTACCTCATACCATGCACAAAAATTGACTTATTTTAGTTCATGACCTTGCAGTAAGCAAAGATTATTCAGATTATATAACAAGTACAACCACAAAACAGAGAAATTAATAAATTGGATTTTATCAAAATGCAAAACTACTGCTTGAAAGATACCTTTAAGAAAGATATCTTATAAGAAATATGTATATATATGTATGTGTGTGTGGGTGTGTGTGTGTATGACAAAGGCCTAGTATTTAAAATATATAAAGAACTCCTTTAACC